TGATTCACCTCAGACTGAAGTTTCTGTCAAACTAAACTGAGTTTAATAAAGTTTCATTTTCATATTTTTTATAAATAAAGAGACTCACCATTGTCTCCATCTTCTGTCCATTGCACCAAACGTCCATCGTGTCTTTTTCTTGAGGACAAAGAAGAAGATAATCACATTATATATTTGAATGATCTTGTCTCTGAATGTTTTGTCCAGTCGTCCGTCCCCCGTCTCACCCAGCACCACCCTGTGCTCCTCTCCGTCCACTCGCAGCCACCACGTCTCCGTCGTCTTCACTCTGTTGTCCATGAACTTCTGCAGACTCCGGCCGTCCACCTCCAGCGTGTACTCGTAGGCGAAGCCGCTCACCGCCTCGATGCTGATGGTGGCTTTGGTGTTGGCCCCGCCCACTGTGAAGGTTTCCTTGCCGACCAGTTTGAACATCCAGTCTCTTCTGATGACTTCCTGTGGAGGAAGTAGTTTTATTTTGAAAGCTGTGACGTCGTCTACCAACGTGAAAGTACAGAAAGTATCAGCAGCACAAGGTAAAGTAGTACTTCAGATTTAAAAGTACTCACATGCTACTTTGAAGTACTTTTACTGCATTGATATAATCCATGAATACTTTCCACTGTATTTTTCTGAAGTTTCTCTTGAACTTCCTGTTTGTTTCTGTGATAATTAAAGTTTGAATGAAACCTCAGACACGTGTCCTCTGATGTTTCCAAACTGAGGCTCGGGGCCTCAACGTGGACCCTGAGGTCTCACCTGAGGGTCCACACGTGAGCACACGTTTAAAGACTTCACGTCTTCGCCACTCAGATGAAACATGAAGCAGAGTCTGACCTGCCCGTTGATGGACACCACACGTTTCCCGGTGGTGGTGCCGTGAGCGAACTCCACCCTGTACACGCCGTCGCTCAGCGCCACCTCCCACGCCGCCACCAGGTCCCCGCTCAGCATGTCGTCGGTGTGGCGGTCAGAGAGTCTTCATGCGTCCAGCAGCCGGACACGAGGACGACTCGTCCCCCTCCGCCCGGCGCTGGTGTCGTCTCAGCAGCAGGTGAATTAATGTAAGAGGCTTAGAGACGAGCGCTCGCACATCGGAGACAATTAGGACACGCTGAGGTTTGTCTGTTCCTCAGGTCCATTAGATCAGAAGAAACCTCCTCCTCCTCTTCCTCCTCTTCCTCCTCTTCCTCGTGTTGCTGACCTCTGACCTCCGCACCAGACAGAACCAGACAGAACCAGACAGAACCACTGTCCGGTGGAGACGATTCTCTTCAGCTGCTCGATGGAAGATAAACAAAGTGTTTTTACTCTCACACGTGTTTCTGATGTGTAAAGTCAGGTGACCTCTGTATGACATCATACATGACATCATATATGATATCATGTATGATGTCATGTATATTGCAGTCACATGATGTTGTGGATCCATGTTCGCCTGCACACGTGTGATCAGTTTCAGATCGATAGCGTGGCGCTGCTCTGACCTCAGCGATGGATGAACCCGGAGCAGGTCGGACCGGTTCCACCTGATAAGAGTTCGGGCCCTCGTCTCCCATCATGCACTGCAGCCAGTCTGAGCAGATAAAACAACAACTGTCACTTTGATCTGATGAGCGTCACAGTTCAACACCTGGAGGAGAAGAGCTCGGGGGTCACTGGAGGTCAGAGGTCAGACTTTATCTGATGGAGTCGTGGAGACGCTCGTTTCTCATTGGTTCAAACTTTTTAACCGTTTAAATTGAAAAACATCAGAAACTGAAGTTTATTAAAATATTCATCTGAAGCACCACACAGGATTTAAACTATGACGTCTTTCTTTAAATAAGCTGCAGATTCAGGCATAGTTGCAGCTCTAGCGCCACTTTGTGGACAGAAGATGAAACTGAAGGTTTGTGTAATTAAAGTTTGTGACCAGACTCTTAAAAACCTAGTGTACAGCACCATCTGGTGGCCGCAGTAAACCACTGCATCTGCATTAGTTTTATTTTCACATGGAGGAACTTTATTTTATTTTATTTCTTTTGGTTTCAACTCGAGTTTAAATGAAAACAGGTATTTTTTCATTCCTCATTTAAAAATATCTTTATTCTCATTTATGTTGAATTGTGGACATTTCTCT